ACACAAAAGAAAACTGTGGAATTAGAGACTACTAAGGTGTAGTAGTCTAATTTTCAGTGGTATAATTCTCATACATAATTTCATTGTTTTTTACGAATAAAGTCAGTGTACCAAAAATGTACTCAGGGACTTACCATTCGGAGTATAAAAAGCGTCTAATTTCGCGGTCATTTTAGTCTGTTATTGCTTCAATTACAAAGCAAAACATTCAAGTATTTTGTATTATATTCGACAGCCAAATTAATGTCCATATTCGCATGATTGAGAGTCCTGTAAATGCCTTTATCATGTCTCTTTGCAAACAAACCTTCGCTGCTAGCAACCAATTTAACGAGAGAAGGAAATTAAGCATTCTTTTGCACAAATTTGTGCAGTTTCTTATAAGCTTTCCTTTCGCGGAAACATCATGAATGTAGGGTATAATAACAAAATAACACAAGAGGGCTGGGATATGATAATTGTTTTTGCGTTCCTAATTTTAGCAATAAAACAATCGCGAATACGTGACCCAGGTTCAAYTCGGGACAATATGATTTTTCATATCTGGGAAAACGGAAATCTTAAAAAAGCAATTTAAATAAATACATATGATTGCTTTGGCTTGTGTTAAGTTTTGTGTATATCACCCTTTCTGGGGGAGCGTGTCCTWGGCTGGTTATTATGACTCCGTRTTGATAGGTTRTTGTCTTGATAGGTTGTTGTCTTGTCACAATAGATTTATGAGATATTTGTCCCGGCATCCTTTGCAAGGGGTATTGGTTCAGTTTTGTACAGTAATTTTAAAAACGTTGCCAAGTTAGTTTACGTGGCCATTGTATATTCGTTCCCCAACCCATCTCCACCTGTAGGGAATTCTTCCCCAAATTTTCTTTAGTACCTAACTTTCCGGTTCCAAAGGAATTGTGGGTACTCGTCAAATCACGTGATCATAGAGTCATAACTACAATCGTTGCCAAAATACCTTGGACAGTACAATTATTTATCTCCAGCCTAACATTTTTCTCCTTTATTTTTTGACAGTTTTCCCCCTTAGCCCCCTCTCATCAATGTTGGGTCTTGTTTTGGATGCTTGTGTACTATGGTAACATGATCAATGACAACATTGCATTTAGGGGGTCAGGGGGAATGAAATTGTCTGCGGGTGTTGCTTAAAATGAGGAAATTCGCTGGAATGGTCCAAGTATTTTGTCAACGATTGTACATCAATCAGTCAACCAACCAACCAATAAGTCAGACAGTGTCGCCCCATGTAAGAGAATCCGGAGAACTAGAGGATTCCGGATTTCAAAGCGCAGAATCCCAGATTCCAAGCCTTGAGATTCCGGTTGCTTCTGTAGATACCGGAGTACAGATGAATTTTTTGAATTTTCAATATTTTTGCTGGATTCTGGATTCCCAAAATATGGATTCCCGATTCCATGTTACGGATTCCGGATTCCAAAGCTGTTTTTTACTGGATTCTGGATTCTGTTACATGCAGGGCTAGACAGTGAGTCAGTCAGTCAATCAATCAAAACACAGTCCTAAAAATAAATCAGTTAATAAACAAATTAAATAGAGCAGAGTCACATGAACCATGAAATAAGAACTAAAAAGTACTAACTAATAGGGACTATTAGTTCCTAATAGTCGTTAGCACTGAACCAGAACAGTTTATTTGATCCAATAAGCAATACCCAAGGGACCACTTTAACAATCAAAGTAATCTCTTTGTMCTGTTCTGGTTCAGTGRTASTGTCTAAATAGTGCCTATTAGTAACTAAGTATTTAGTTTCTATTTCATGGTTCAAGTGACTCTGCTCTAACTAAAACAAACATTGCAAATAAATATAAATACATCAATGTTATTTCTGCCTTTTTTTATTTCCAAATTTGAAGAAAAAACGTCTCCATTCACAGAATAAATGAAAGCTCTTTCACAACACATTATGCATTGCAAGTCTTTGCACTCTTTCTACTCGGTACATGAAAAATTATTACACGCCCATGTCAATAATTGTCGAYTCAATAAGCTGTTTCATGCTGTCTGGAAGGCGAGGGAGGATCTAGACAAGACACTTCTAGACTGACGGCATGGGGTGCTTTTAGTATTAATATCATACATGTACCATTAAAATGTCTTACTGAAAATATTGTAAAGCATTTTTTTTTAAATAAATTATGATGGATATCAATACTCTTCAGCGATTCTATAATTCTCACTGTGAAAGATATCAGCAGACTAATTTATTGAATATGCATTTTGATGGAATGGTTTACTGTACAATTGTCTATGAATTCATTGTCCAACAATGAAAATCACAGGAAAATCTTTGTTTTTATTTTGTAAACTTTTAGCACAATTTTGTGCTCTTAGTCCTATTTGTTTCAAGGACTTAATGTGAGTCATAGTATCGCTTCTTTAAGGTTCTGTATTTCCTCAGCATATACAAGGCTTCTATTTCTTTCACAACATACTCTCCTCTCGCTATGAACATTTTGATCTTCTCTGGATCTGTTTCATCTTTGTTTCTTAGGAAAGCCTTTTTTAACTTTTCTTTGAAGTACTGTTCACCAAGAGGATAATCTCTTCCTAGATAAATCAACTGAAAAAAAAGGGAATTGTATAACATATATGGAGTTAAGTAAGGGAAGAGAAGAGGAAGAAGATATCATGTTCACCCAGCGGATAATCTCTTCCTAGNATACCCTGTTCCAGAGTAAAATCGCTAAAATCGATACCCAGTTCCAGAGTAAAATCTCTGAAAACGATACCCTAGCTGGCGGCACGTCCCCGTATAGCGAATATAGGGGAGTACCCCCCCCCGGGATACATGGACCATTTTAAGGAATAAAAGAATATATTACATGGTTTTGAGGCTAAAACAGTGTAGATAACCTTTGTTGAAATAGCCATATCCACCAATATTCAAGTTTCCCTTCATTCCTACCTTGTTTGTCTAGAAAATCTCTTGAACCATTTGCATCCCAAATATGAATATTTTTTTCTTTGAGAAGATTTCCATTGGTGTTCCCCTTGACAAACCATAGTAACTCCTCTGCTACGCCTCGCCAAAACACACGCTTTGTSGTWAGAAGTGGGAAGACATTATCACGYAAACTGTAACGCATTTGAGTTCCAAATATGGATCTTGTACCAGTTCCTGGAAATGGTATTATGAATTAATATCTAATAAACTCACAAAGTGCTAGCATTGACAACTTATGACCAACACTAAWTAGCATAGTAATGTTAAATTCAAAATGTTGACAAACAAACACTCTCAGATGATAGATATCAAAGCTAATTAAGATAAGTCCTGAAAGTTTCAAAGATAAATTTAAAATCCTCTTGAAGTTATTAGTTCTAGAAGATGCACAAAAACACCAAAAGGAGGCCACCAAGGCCTTAGCAAAGACTTCCAAACAAATCCTTGCATTTTCATTCCTCCATAACTTCATTCGTATTTAATCCATGGCTTCAAAACTTTCTACAACAACCTATTTTTGATAGTTCTTCCATATGACAGTGTTGAATATCTTCATAATATTGTATTAGTATAAAATAAATGGTAGGCATTTATGAAAGTGGTGTATTACTGGTGYTTTTGTGAAGTAAGGGATGTAGACCTAGAATAAAGGACAGGAAGCCCAAAATGTAAGTTAACAAGGTTTYTTTACCTGTGCGGTCAGACTTTGTTATCCCATGATCAATAATATGGCGGATCATGTCAAGGTACTGTAGTTCTTCATGCTTTTTGATTGGTTTGACAGACTCTTTCAATTCTTTGATTGACAGTTGTTTGGTATCTGTTGTKCTAAATTCCTCTGTTTTGATTGGTTCACCAGATAACATCATTGACTACAAATGACAATAAAAAACAAGCACAATTATGAATGATCTCTAACATCATAGGAATACAAAATATTCAAAATACTATCTCATCAGCTTCAGAAAGCATATACAGTGGAGTCAAGATTGCAAGCCTAACATAAACGTTTTAAACTTAAAGTTTATAAGCTTATTAATCTTACTGTAGATTTCAAATGACATTTCAACATAATTTTAATAGGTCCAACAGTTTCACAACCAAGAAATAAAAAAGACACAAACATCGAAGGACATCTAATCAGTATAATCAAGAGGAAATAAACGTTAAGAATAGAGATTATAGACATTATAGCCTGCGATCTCGTCGATTTAATAGAACTTAAGTTATTGTACAATGGAAATTCACGCGCCAAAGTTCACTCGAAAGACCAATTCCTTCAATAAACACCTCCAAATCTAAAAATCTTATATACTTGAAGGAACTAAGGTGATATAATTATAGAGAAACCTACCTGGTTAAAAGAAATAGACCTTTGAACAWGAAAATTGTCTAAAAACCACTTCSAAGCGATCAAACAGCATGAACAATAAACATCGAATTTTGGCGGGAAAAGTTGCCTCGTTCTGGCTTTAGATTAGTTACCATTAATTGGRATTCCTGTGGTGTGGATGTTTACAAAATGGCCGACCATAGAGGCAAGATTCCTGTTGGGAAGGGAATTCCAAGCGAAAGTGAGCTTCTAAAGCCTCTGATATTCCCTAATAGTCAACGAGCTTTTAAAATATTTAATTCTGTTTTAGCAGCTGGTGAGTTATTTTTTCTATTCTATCTTTAAGACAGAAAATAKGACAATTTTCACGGAGTATCAATTAGTTTAGTTGACGGTGAAGATGGCAGTAAAATGMAACTGGAATGTTCTATTTTTTTTAGGAATTACAGTTTACTTTGTGTTTTTTCACAAATTCCCACAAGAGGATCATTGCTTCATGCCTGTGAGTTTATAAGCTTACCTCTTGAAATCTTACTTAACTTAAGTTTAAATACTTCCCCTTCAGCTATTTATGCTCACGCTTACAGCAAAGGAATTGTTATTTTATATTACTATATACTATTCTACTTGGATTTTGTTAGTGATTTCCTGATTTGATTGTTAACACTGCCACCCAGGCCACAATAGTCCACTTCTCGCGGATAATTCGAAATTTTTTATGGTAAATCATTGACATCACTGGAAAGAGCGTCATAAAATCAGCAAATTTGCCAAGTTTAARAATAATCTGATTTAAATTCAAAGAGATACGGCACTTCAAAAACACTAAATTTTGCATAGAAATGTTTGGCGAGGTTGTAACAAGTCAAGGTCAACCTCGATCTCATGCCGACAGCCATACATTTCTTTGTAAATTTTGCCGACTTTTAAACGCTGTATCTCCTTGAATTTTCATCGAATCATGCTCAAACCTGGTAAGCATACTAATTTCATACTGTTCTTTCCAGTGGTGGTAATAGTTTTGCGATATTTGCTCAATTTCTAATAGCTGTGTTATCCGCGAAGTGGACTATTGGATAATACTCCATTTCCGAATTCAAATCGAAAATCCACTGCTTTATTTCTCAGCAGGTTCTCCTCACAAAGACCTTACCAAACACAAAAGAAAGAACAAGAAAATGTTCCAAGTACAATAGCCCTAACAATTTACATTTTTACCATGTTGAGGCTAACCCTGTATTCCCAGAAGGCTTAAACATTACGTCCCATAGGAATACAGGGTTAATCTCAATTTGGGGAAAATGTATCATGGAGACATTTTCTCATGATTTCTTTTGTGTTTGGTAAGGCCTTTGTGAAAGAGAATCTTCTGACAAATTAATTTTTCGCTTTGAATTCAAAAATGGAGTATGGAGGCCTACCATTTTAAGAGTTTTTCTTCATGTTTTTTTATCTCAATTGATGATAAATCCCTGCAAAATTACCTGCTGTATTATTGATATACCGCTTTACCATCTAGATGAGTTTCAGCAAGCTTTGCTCAGTTTAAAATTGATATCTCCCACCATAACTAAAGCAGAAAGTATACATAATATTTATGTATTCTGCTTCAACTGTTATACAGCCTTTTGCAAAAATTATGAGAATTGTCTAAATATCTAAATATCTAAATATCATAATATCCATATCCATATATTGTCCGGAACACGCGGGTTTGCTAGAAAAATTCATTGTTGACATCGAGAAAATGTTCAGAACTACGGATAAGTCTGTCGCCAAAAAAACTAAACTACAAAGACAAGGGACTAAGGGCATCGCGCGGGATTACACATCATGCACTCGATATTATGATATTTAGATATTTCGACAATTCTCATAATTTTCGCTCGGGATTACCCATCATGCACTCGATATTATGATATTTAGATATTTCGACAATTCTCATAATTTTTGAAAAAGGCTGTATAAATGGAAGTTGCACACTTAACAGAATCTTTCTCATTGTGGAAAACAAAGGAATAACATGTAAACATGCATTTTTATCTTCTCCTTTAGATAAGAAACTTTGTAGAGGAACAAAAAGCGAATTTTTTCCGAGTTCGTCCTGAGGACGAAGACTACATCAAACAAAAAGCTGCAGAACTTAGACGAGAGGAGGAACTGAAGAAAACCGCTTAGAGTATTGATGAAATATTTTATATCTTTGTAAATAATATTCCACCCTAGCCTTGTAAAATAATATTGAATAAAAGGCAATGGAAAAATACACTTTGAAATTTCCACAATGCAGGTCAAAATGTGATTGTTTTGATTTGCATAACTACAAACTTCATTAGTCAAACTCCGCGCGTCATCTTGTGCGCGTTTGGTCCTCTCAGTTTAGATTGATGTTGTTGTTGTAAAAGTGGAACTAGTTGTGTCTTTCCTGCGAAGAAAAAATAAAAAAATGATTATTTAAGGGTGATTTTGTAGGATCTATAAAAAAGTGCGAGGACTCCCATCGTATTTTGTTTATCAATATGGCGTCCTTTGACATAGCCGAGTTTATTCTTGGTTTGCTGGTAACGTCACAGCGGCCATCTCGAAGGAACTTTAACAAAGGACTTCTCATCAGTATCATGGCCGCCGGTCTTTTATCTTTTGAATCTCATGGGAATGGGTGAAAACGATCAATTCTGAAATCACTGATGACTGAAATGAAAGTTATTTTCATGTTTGCGTCATCACGATGTCATCCCTGTTAAAAAAGTTCACTTAAGACATTAAAGTGCTTTATCTTGTATTCTCTCAGACTGGATATTGTTTGCTTTGAATAAATCTCTCAATCTCCCGCGTTGATCAAGAGATGTGSCARCATGTGTGTTGACCTGTTCATTCGCATTTATAACACTACTTTAAAATCRTGTMAAGAAGTAAATACTTGGRAAGTAAATACTTGAGACTTGTTTTGAATTTCCTCGTCATTACCCGAAGAAMAATCACCCAAGATTTGTCTAAAAAGGTATGAAATGCCATGAAACGGCAGAAAACATCACGTGACCTGCTTTTGGGGTTTTACCTTTACATTTTAAACGCGAGAGTGGATTATTTTGAGTTTGTCATAATCGTCGCTCGTTCAAATGACTACCAAAAGCGCAAGGTCAGGCACAAAATTCTTAGGTCATTGGTTCAGCYMTGCCGTTAGCCGTTTGCGGTGATGTCAGCCTGACGGAGGGGAAGAAATGAGTGCCAGTCGCTGTTAAAAATAAGCGAAACTAACTGAACAAATCGAGACGTGAAAGAAGCATTGTTAAGAAAAAACGTCGTGTAGAGTACTTACAGTATGTCCACTGATACTATTAAGTTATTATCTCATAATTCTTATTTAGTTGGTATTARGCACTTCCACTCAACTRGAACAGCTTAACTTCAATTTGTTTGAATGCTCAAGACAATAGACCACGAATAGAAAGTTTTAACAGCTTAAAAACTAGTTAATTCTGCATAACTAGTCCCTGATACGATCCGAAAGCTCGGAAAATAAAACATATACAAACGTAGACGAAGCAGTGTTTAGAATATGACTCCTACGTACAGAGAAATAGACTATTAAAGCTTAAAAACTGTTCCAGTTGAGTGATAGCATCTAATACTGTAGTCAGTAAATTATTATATGTAATAGGACTCCATGCTGTCCAATTAAGAAATAATTGGACGAGGAAAATTCCGAGGCTGCCAAAAATTGGACGAGGCCGTGGAATTTTTCGAGTCTAATTATTTCTTAATTGGACAGCATGGAGTCTTATTACCTATTAATTATATAGCCACATATTGATCCCAAATAGGTAAAAGCCAACCACAGCTTTTAACAAAAACCCATTTGAAAACCTGTCCAATTAATTTCTTAATTGGACAGGATTCCAAAATTAACGAAAAATCCAGCTTTTACCTATTTGGGATTAATATGTGGCTATATAATTACATGTAAAACCGTTAGAGTGATTATAATAATAATAATAGACACTTAGTAGATTCTACACACATTGCCAGTTCTAAACACTCACTAGCAGAAATTGTTTCACAGACGGATGAAAATGACTCTATTTAGAAACTATTTAGATTTTGTTTCATGGACATGTACTCAGGTAAGCACTCTAAAATTGTTTCTCTTTAATTCTTAAACGCGCAGTACTCTTGAAACTGTTGAAAATTTAATTGATGTAGCTCTTGTTTGAATAAATATTATGACATATTTTTGTAAGTTGATCCGTCATTGTTAAGTTTTATCCCACCGGGTCCTGAACTTAATTGTCACTCTTTGACGGGCCAGCTGCGCGTCTGCAGATCAAAAAGTTCAGGTAAAGTCCTTTTGTCAATATTTTCGACTGTTTTGTTTATTATTGATTTTTTTTTATGTAGTACTTTCCCGGGAGTACTTTTCTCCACAGTTTGTAGAGGGAATTGATTAGGAAGCCTACTGTTTTCACTCAATTCACTGAAAATGAAGGGACTTACTGAAGTCACAATATCGAGTCTCTCAATAGGTGCTTAGTTGTGATTTTTGTGCGCTTCACCTTTCATGTATTATATATTGCGTTATATCTGGCCAGTTACCGGTCAAGTTCTTGAAAATGCTAAATGGCCGGCAGCTGATAAAGTTTTTTCCATCTCTTATTATCTAAACGAGCTTCCAAACTACAAAAAAAAAAACTCTATCAGTTAAATGAGCGTGTTAAAACTTACATAAACGTCTCGCCGAAATTTCGTTGAGAGACACTGTACGACCTTGAAACGACTGCCGGCCATGCCACAAGGAAATCCTAAATAGCCGGCAGCCCACAAAAGAATATAAAAGATATCTCTTTTATATTATCCTATTTTCAGATTTAATACAACATTATTACCAGTTATTGCCAGGATTACATTTCATGTTCAGAGGGCTCATGCTGTGCGGTAGACCGTTCACAGTACACAGGAAAAAATCGCGCGCTTTAAAGGTTGTAAATTTGATGTACATATGATGTAAGTGTCCAAAATTCTGTAAATTTAATGGAAATCATTTACATCAAATTTACAGAATTTTGGACACTTACATCATATTTACATCACATTTACAACCCTTTAAGCGCGCGGTTTTTTTTTTCCAGTGAGTAGGGGATTATTATTATCTTGATGATTTCATGCACGTGCTTACTAGGACTACAATTCATCTTCAGAGGGTTATGCTGTGTGACAGACAGTCGGTTCATAAGTTCGTACTATGCCTCGAAGTGCAACGAATCTCCCTCTGAACATGAACTGTACTCCTATTAAAGAATAACGATCCTACTGCGCACAGCATGACAGGCTAGTAACGAGGTATTGGGATCAGGGATCAGCGTCAGTTTTTGTTCTATTTTGGGATCAGGGATCAGGATTTAGGCTCTGGATCYGGATCAAAKGGATTTAACCTGKGATCAAAGGTTTTTCAACTGGGATCGGGATCAATGATTTTCTTACATTACAACGATTCTGTAGGGGGATCAGGGATCAAAATGTACGAAGTTTTGGGGCCGGGATCACGGTTTTATCCTTTTGATCYGGATCATCAGCAAAAATAATATACCTCGTTACTAGCCTGGCATGGACCTCTGAACAAGCCTCGGGCGAAAACTTCACATTTGTTATATATCATTTTTTGGCGAACAAAGGCTAATTTCATTTATTTTACTAAATTTTAGCTTGCTTGCATTCCTGAGCATGGAGCAAGAAATTTCGTGCAATTTCGAGCCATTTCGCATAAAATCCATCGAAACGATAAAAACCACAACAAAAGAGGAAAGAAAACAATATCTTGAGGATGCATTCTACAATCCATTTCTAATCAAATCCGAGAACGTCATGATTGACCTCCTCACTGACTCTGGGACGGGCGCAATGAGCAGCGACCAGTGGGCAGCGATCATGCGCGGAGACGAGTCTTACGCAGGCTCCAGCAGCTATCACAAACTTGAGAAAGTCATCAAAGAGATTTATGGGTACCGTCACGTGATGCCAACTCACCAAGGCCGTGCTGCTGAGCGAATCCTTTTCAAGTGCGCTGTGAAGAGTGGACAAATTATACCTAATAATGCTCACTTTGATACCACAAGGGCAAATATTGAGGCTTTAGGAGCTTTCGCTGTTAACCTCCCCACTCCCGAAGCCATGGATAACACGTCTGAGCACCCGTTCAAAGGAAACCTTTGTGTAGAAAAACTGGAAAAGTTGCTGTCAGGAGATCAGGGAAATAAAGTACCATTGGTCATGCTGACAATTACTAACAATGCTTTAGGTAAACGATTGTAAAGCTATTTCAAGAWACTATTCAATAATTTGATACTATAGTCTATAGTACTAATAATAATTATTTGATACTATAATTTGATACTAATATATAATTTGATACTATAATAGCCGACTTTAGATATTTTGGTTCAGTGACCATGCAYAAAAGAATTKCAGACGAGGCTMCGGGGAAATAAAAGAATAAATTAAGATTATCCATTGTTTCCCCGGAGCCTCGTGTGCGTTCTTTTGTACATAGTCATCGAACCAAAATATCTAAAGTTGACTATTTGATACTATAATTTTATACTATGGTCTATAGTCTAAGAGTATTCCAAGACAAAAACATATTTTCATATTCCCTGCGCCATCTTGAAAGGTAGCCGCGCCTTGGCATCGAAACGAGGCGACCGTTAACCGTGCAACGATAGATAACTATGAATAGTCTATCATTCCACGATCAACAGTTGTCTCGCATCAATTCAAGGGCTGGGCTACCTTTGGCTAACTTTAAACATGGAGGGAGGAGGGAACCGCRAAGCATCGAGAATATTATTCTAGACTAAATTGAAAGAATAATCAATTTTTGCTTTAATTAAGGTGGCTCGGCAGTAAGCATGGAAAACATCAGAGCAATATCAAAAGTCTGTCGCTCCCACAACGTCCCACTCTTCTTTGACGCTTGTCGGTTTGCGGAGAACGCGTGGTTTATCAAGACCAAAGAGCCTGGATACAAGGATAAGACACCAAAAGAAATATCACAGGAGATCTTCTCGTATGGTGATGGATGTACCATGTCGGCAAAGAAGAATGGATTGACCAACATTGGTGGATTTTTAGCCATGAATGATGGTGATCTTGCAGAAAAGTAGGCAGAAAAAACAAACAGCTATTTGAATACTCAGTTTTGTTTTTTTCTATATAGAAATGAAAGAAAGTTACGGTGCTTAGAAGGAGGCAATTCCGGGAGAAGTCCCTTAGGAATAAATTCGGAAAAATTAATTTCCGACCTCGCTGGGATTCGAACCCACGACCTTCGGATTTGTACACCGATGCTCTACCAGCTGAGCTACAAGGCCAGACTGGGAGCAGGTCGGGGTGAAATAGATGTTATGGTTGCGGTAATAGAATAATGTAAAGATATGAATATGAAGACCGCATGGCACTATGATAAACACGATATAGAAATGAAAGAAAGTTACAGTGCTTTGTTTCTTCTATGTTGGTTTTAATTTTCCGAGCTTTCGGACAACTTGTCCATCATCAGGGCAAAATGAAATTACAATGCGTATGTGAGGATACAAATGTAAACAAAACACTATGGTAACATAACTGCTTAAGAGCGCGCAATAGTTCAAATCAATTAACATTTCTTATAAAGAACTCAACACAATTGCGCTCCTGATTTTTCGTGTAATACTCCAATTTCGAGTTCTGGTTTGCTCTGTGTTAGCCTCAAAACCAAGTAACATATTCTTTTGTTTCATTGATAGCTCGAGAAAACGCATGGAATTTGAAACGAAAGACAATAGAATTGATTTGAAATCTCACACTTTTACGCTCACAACTAAGGAATATTTTGCGCATAAGTGAGGCTAACACAGAGCATTGGAGAATTCGAAACTGGAGTATT